TTTACGGCTGTAATAGTTGATAGATTTGTAGAGAATTGCACGTGCCATGGCTATTTATAGTATCATACTGTCATAAAGTTGGCCTCGACACGGCGAATGTGCACGCTTCAGTGGTAGTCTCGAACTATCAGCGGTTGACTGTATTTCTGTAGGTGCGTGGGTCACCCTACCAGGGGTTAGTGGAGTAGGAAGGAATGAAACCACTGGGGATACCGAGGATGATTAGCGCCAAACAAAAACAAAAATTATTAATCCGTTTGAACGTATTAGTATCTCGTTTGAACGAATTAATTATCTCGTTTGAACGAATTAGTATCTCATTTGAACGAATTAGAATAATTTGGACTTCTCTCATTTAGGTTAACTCTTAGCCTTGTCCGTTGAGAGTTACTTCCTTTTGCCAACTTCCTTTGCAATTAACGATTTATGAGATTGGTCGATAAAAATAGCACAACCATCAAGGGCGGATAACTTGAAAACGTGTCTCCCCCATAGGTTAACCCAGGGGTTAGTGGAGTAGAAAGGAATGAAACCACTGGGGATACCGAGGATGATTAGCGCCAAACAAAAACAAAAATTATTAATCCGTTTGAACGAATTAGTATCTTGTTTGAACGAATTAATTATCTCGTTTGAAAGAATTAGTATTTCGTTTGAACGAAATAATTATCTCGTTTGAACGAAATAATTATCTCGTTCGGACGAATTAATTAACTCGTTTGAATGAATTAAGATTTCGATTGTACAGAAGCGTGTAAGGGACATGCAGAAATTGTGATATTAACAGGTGTTTTAAGTAAAGATTATGTCATTTAATACTTAAGTTTTTTTTTATTATTTCTAGCTTTACTGTCAGTAGAGAGAGAGAGAGAGAGAGAGAGAGAGATGGGGTTTAACGTCCACTCGACACAAACTAGGTCATTTCGGGACTAACATATGGTTTAAATTTATTTCAATAATTCGCTTGCGCGTAGGGGTCTTTAGCAGTGGGAGGAAACCGGAGGACCCGGAGAAAACCCACGAGGTTGGACAGGCGACCCTACTCCTTGTCACGTACAACCGGGATTCGAAACCACGCCAGTTGACTCAATGACAGACCGTATGATACAGCACGCACCATTCGACCACCCAACCCCCCTACCGTCAGTAGAAGGAACTACATTTATGAGAAGGAGAATTAGTATAGATTATGTTGGAAGTTATCCACGTTTTAAAAGCCGAATATGTTTAATGTTAACCTGAATTAGGCACAACATCGTAGTGAAGTCATTGTTAAACAGGCATTATGCAAGAGCTAAATCTGCCTATTGCAGGTCTTTATGTACGCCTTAAATGTTATATAAACTATTCATTAGACATTTATTAACATGTTTAAGTAGATTAGAACGGTTCGGTCATTTAATGATTTAATTGAAAAATGGTAAAGCGAGGCTAAGCCTCGAACAAACAGTACGGTGGTTACATTCCGTGAATTTTCAAACCTTCAAAGGCTAATATCGTCGCTCAGAATAAAGTAATTTAATGAAAATTTCAATATATTCATTTCGCATTATCTTTTTGAACTATTATTACAAGAACGATCAGCCCTTTCTCTAAATCTTACATAATGTATCTTTAATATTGTAAAGATGTAGATTTGAAACGCGCCCAATTAAGAAATAATTATGCCTTAGCTGAATTATCGCTAGCTCAGTGAACAGAACTGCTGGTATACGATTGCTTGTCAACGGGGTTTACATATTAATTGAATTTTGCAGTAAAGTGTTATCCCAGAGTAAATTTATTCCTAGAGTTGACTGCGTTACAATACAACGGATGTAAGAGGGTTTGGGTGAGTTTCTAGGATAGGGGGTGGGGGGGTAGAAGAAACAACTAATTTGCGACGTCTACTTTAATGGCGTAAGTCTTGTTAGAAAAGTCTGTAGTCCTCGGGTGACACAAAAACTGTGGATTATACAAACCAGCGGCTGTCAGGCAGGATACGCCCACATTTTCGAGAGATGGATAGAGAACAATCTAAAAAGAAAGTGATTTTTCGTACAATCAGGGGCCATAATTCAGGAAGTTACGGTCCGATATGCGCGAACATCGAAAGGAACCGAGATCTTTGGGTTATAAAGTTATATTTCAAGTTTCAACAAAATCGGATAAAAAATTGTGACCTCTTTAGGGTCCACAACCTTGAAATACCATATTTTTAGTAATTTTTACGCTATTTGAGAACGAAGGGCGGCCATTTTGCCTGTCAGTTTTGGGCCGATTTTCACGAAATTCGAACTCAGTCGCCCTTAGGGTGTAACGGTAATATAATACGGTTTTTTAAATCGGATAAAAATTATGACCTCTATAGGGTCCACAAGCTAAAAACGTGATTTTTCGTAGAATCAGGGGCCATAATTCAGGAAGTTACGTTCCGATATGCGCGAATATCGAAAGGAACCGAGATCTTTGGGTTATAACCTTACATTTCAAGTTTTATCAAAATAGGATTAAAATTGTGACCTCTATAGGGTCCACAACCTTGATATACCATATGTTTACGCTATTTAAGAACGAACGGCGGCCATTTTGTCTGTCAGTTTTGGGCCGATTTTCACGAGATTCGAACTCAGCCGTCCTTAGGGTGTAACGGTGATATAATAATACGTTTTTTTAAATCGGATAAAAATTATGACCTCTATAGGGTCCACAAGCTAAAAACGCGATTTTTCGTACAATCCGGGGCCATAATTCAGGAAGTTACGGTCCAATATGCGCGAATATCGAAAGGAACCACGATCTTTGGGTTATAAACTTACATTACAAGTTTCAACAAAATCGGATAAAAATTGTGACCTCTATAGGGTCCACAACCTTGATATACCATATTTTTTATGCTATTTGAGAACGAGGGGCGGCCATTTTATCTGTCAGTTTTGGGCCGATTTTCACGAAATTCGAACCCAGCCGTCCTTAGGGTGTAACGGTGATATAATAATACGGTTTTTTTTAAATCAGATAAAAAATTATGACCTCTATAAGGTCCACAAGCTAAAAACGCAATTTTTTGTACAATCAGGGGCCATAATTCAGGAAGTTACGGTCCAATATGCGCGAATATCGAAAGGAACCACGATCTTTGGGTTATAAACTTACATTACAAGTTTTATCAAAATAGGATTAAAATTGTGACGTCTATGGGGTCCACAACCTTGATATACCATATTTTTACGCTATTTGAGAACGAAGGGCGGCCATTTTGTCTGTCAGTTTTGGGCCGATTTTCACGAAATTCGAACTCAGCCGTCCTTATGGTGTAACGGTGATATAATAATACGGTTTTTTTTAAATCGGATAAAAATTATGACCTCTATATGGTCCACAAGCTAAAAACGCGATTTTTCTTACAATCAGGGGCCATAACGCACGTGCATAGGCGTACGGGCTCGATGACAGTTCGGGGGGGGGGGCAGAACCTGAAATACCCGAAAATTCGGGTTTACAGACAGCGTCGCCGGTCTTCTTCTTCGATAGGCGAATGAGTAGAGCTTACCGTGTATGGACCCCCAAAGAAAGTTTTGGAAAATTTGACGGCCGAAAAAAGCAACTTCAAATTGGTCTAATATAACCTAATTAAGGTAACTGGCTCGAATTCCAATCAACTAATCAATCGTTTACAGTCCACGAAGACGGGACCGTTGGGAGAAATTTTTTAAAATTTAACTGCCGCAAACGCGTTTTCCTGCTATTCAAGCCCGTGAATACAGCAACTTTAATGTGGTCCAATATAGCCTACCTGGCTGACCAGAATCCCAAACAACCAATCAATCGTCGTGGGGCATGGGGGCGTCGCCCTCCCGGAGAAACGTTTGAAAAGTTAAAGTTACAATTTCATATTTTTAAGTTATATTTTTAAATTATATTCTAAAATAGATGGTATCTATAAACAGTGCTACCTTGTCGTGGGCCATGGGGAGAAACGTTTGAAAAGTTAAGGTTACAATTTCATATTTTTAAGTTATATTTTTAAATTATATTCTAAAATAGATGGTATCTATTAACAGTGCTACCTTGTTAAAGAATAATCTATTAATCCTATAATTCACTATTGCCAGTTGAGAAATTGGCAAAAATATCATTTTCAAATTCAAATTCAAACGTTTGAAGATAGCTATTCCATGGTGGGAATAGGAAAACAGGGGAGGTAATTGTGTTATTATTTCCGGTGTGAAGATTTTTAAGTGTGAGAAAGATAACCTATGATCGTATAATAGTGAGTTGACAACCTATTGAGCAAAAGACATAGAAATAATTATGTTTTGACTTTCTTAGAAAATATGAAATTGTAACTTTAACCGCCGCAAATGCGTTTTTCTGCTATTCCAGCCTGTGAGTTAAGCAACTAAAGTTGTCCAATGGTTTTGTAACCGAAATCCCACTCTATGCCGACCTGAATTCCAACAATCCAATTGAACTGTTGTAGCTGCAATTACAAATAATAACCGATGTCCGAAAAATGTCAATTCAGTTCAAATTCGTGGTATTCAATTAAAAGAAACGTAAAATTAGTGTTTTATTAGATTTCGGGCACTTCTTTATTTTGCCAAGTAGATGAAATAAAAAAAAAATCTCACTTTACCCATCTGCCCAAAAAGTCAGATTGCCCCCCCCCCCCTGGCTCGTACGCCTATGCACACGTGGATGTCAAAAATTGTCAACCTTTATCCCCCTTCAACATCTTACCATGGTTTCGCTTATCACGTGCCATGTGCAATCTTTTGATGAACTGTCGAAAATGCAAGCATAAACATTGATTTTTCGAGAGAACTTTTTTATTCGTTGGGATATGTTATTGTACACTGGATTATATTTAACCAAAGGTGATTTCATACACATAAACAAGTTTTTAATAACCATTTATATATTAAGTACATGTGGTTTGTTCACAATCGAAGAAATCCGTTTAAAATTTACATCAGATAGTAACATTTCCTTCAGTTTGAATAATATTTTATACCTACCGTTTGAAAGCGTCCCATGGAATTAAACAGATTAACTACTTGACTTCGGTGTAGGTTGACAATCTGATTATTCCCAGCGCCAGCGAATTTCACTCATCTGAACTGATCTGACCAAAAATCTTACTCAAAACATATTTGAAGATAAAATAGTGTATCCCCAAATTTTTTCATAGCTTTGTTCAGCCTGTTTATTGTTCCACGGACACTTGTTCAGATAATTAATCCTTGGTTCACTTTGGTTATCTGTTATTATAGAAGATGAAATTAATCAGCGTCTTAACCGACAATCAACATGTCCTCCAGCAGACACACACACGCGCATGGGCTGATGACGTAATGGTTGTTTTTATATGAAATGCATTGTCTCGGAATGTACGTCTTTGCTGTGTATTTTGATATTCAGGACCTACTCTGGCATTATCATGTTAGGACAGTTGAGGCGGATATTTGGGGATCGGTGATTTGGCGGGTGTGTGTGTGTGGGGGGGGGGGGGGTATCCCAATTCTTTATATAAAAACCTAAAAAAATGTATATGAATTTGTCAAGCTTCAAAGAGCTATTTGGCTCGCTTCGCTCGGCTTTCTTTTCATACATCTGTTTTCTCTCACCGGTTAGAAATCATAGCTACGCCACTGACGCCAACCCGACTTTATAAACATATGAAACCGAAATAATAATATCACAAACTGTTTTAAGGCAACAAATTCAACTTGTTTTTATCGACTTTTCAATTCACTAAAATAGTTCAACAAAATCTCGTTTGACACCACCTCCACTACTTGTATAATAATCCCATAATGAAACCGGGAAATAGTTAATTGGCCGAAACTTTGCATGAAGGGCCATACTTTTCTGGGAGCAATTATCCTAAAAGAGGCGTAACAATCTGAAATATTGTCGACGAGCCCTTACTGGGTGACAGATAGATAATCTATTTATTGCACAGATAAATATTAAAGGGGAACTAGTGGTTTGGATATCTTCGCAAATTCAGTGGATTTTCTTCAGCAAATAGTTTACCCTGGTGGATCAATAGAGAAACGAATTTCCGTTTTATATATTTATCGGAAAAATTTCTTGGCTGTCGGAAAACTGTAACCTTGACCGTGGAAGATCCAAGAGAGAAACCAATTCCCCGACAGTTAAACTCGATGTGTACAGTTATTTGCAGTTTTCAGACACTATCTCTTTGTCACGTATGGAAGCCTATAACTACCATTCATAATTTCTACTTTTCGCCTGTTCAAAACACGAAAGTCGAAGAGTCGAAAAGAAGAAGTTACGACAAAATGTCAGGCGACAACACGCTATACAAACCAAAATCAACTCGAAAATAGGAAATTAAGAAAAAACACAGCGATAATAGCGCCCCTCGTCTTTTCCTAATTTCTTATTTTCGACTTGCATTTTGGCTTGTATACCGTCTTGTCGACTTTCGACTTAGTCATATTTTTGTATTTATTGATGTCAGTAAGAAGGCGCCAACACGCATACCAAACCAAAATGCAACTCGAAAAGTAGAAATTAGGAAATTAACACACCACGCTATTAGCGACTTTTCGCCTCGGAAGTTGTTGTAGTCTCAGTTTTCCAGGTCGCATTTGAATACGTGCAATCAGTGCTCACCCTGTATTTCATTCTTTTCCGTCAATATGGATAATAATTATTATATAAAAAAATGTTTATATTTTTTTTCCGCCAACTGGGATATTTTATCTGCCAAAAAAGTCTGATAAAAAAAACACACCTTAGGCTACAACAATTTAATTTCCCGTACCGATATATACAATATACAACAACAACAACATGGGGATTGGGTGGTCTAGTGGTTTAACACGTGCGCGTGAAATCACAAGGTCTGACATTGATTCATGTGGTGTGATTTCGATTCCCCGCTTAAACATGACAAGGGAGTAGGATTGCTTGTCCAACCGTGTGGGTTTTCTCCGGATACCCCAGTTTCTATCCACTGCTAAAGACCCCTACGTGCAAACGAATTATTGAAATGATTTAGTTTGCAACGAGTGGATGTTAAGCCAGCCTGGAGGTCGGGTGTTCGATCTCTGCAAACCAAAATGATAGGTCGCTAATAGCGCGTGTGTTTATTTCCTAATTTCTACTTTTCGAGTTGCACTTTGGCTTGGTATGCGACAGTTGTCCTTGTCAGACCCCCCCCCCCCCTCCCGTCCTGCATCACTGACAACAGGGAATCCGCCGGAAAATCTGGATGAACTTTCTCGGCCAATGCAGGGATCGAACACCCGACCTCCAGGCTGCCTTAACATCCACTCGTTGCAAACTAAATCATTTCAATAATTCGTTTGCACGTAGGGGTCTTTAGCAGTGGATAGAAGCTGGGGTATCCGGAGAAAACCCACAAGGTTGGACAAGCGACCCTACCCCCTTGTCATGTTTAAGCGGGGAATCGAAATCACACCACTTGAATCAATGGCAGACCTTGTGATTTCACGCGCACGTGTTAAACCACTAGACCACCCAATCCCCATGTTGTTGTTGTATATTGTATATATCGGTACGGGAAATTTGTTTTATAATAGGCCTATATAATAAATTAAATTGTTGTAGCCTAAGGTGTGTTTTTTTTATCAGACATTTTTGGCAGATAAAATATCCCAGTTGGCGGAAAAAAAATATGAACATTTTTTAAAATGTAAAAATTATTATCCATTTTGGCGGAAAAGAATGAAATAAAGTGTGAGTCCTGATTGCACGTATTCAAATGCGACCTGGAAAACTGAGACTACAACAACTTCCGAGGCGAAAAGTCGCTAATAGCGTGGTGTGTTGATTTCCTAATTTTTACTTTTCGAGTTGCATTTTGGCTTGTATAGCGTGTTGGCGCCTTCTTACTGACATCAATAAATACAAAAATATGACTAAGTCGAAAGTCGACAAGACGGTATACAAGCCAAAATGCAAGTCGAAAATAAGAAATTAGGAAAAAACGAGGGGCGCTATTATCGCTGTGTGTTATTTTTTAATTTCCTATTTTCGAGTTGATTTTGGCTTGTATAGCGTGTTGTCGCCTCACATTTTGTCGTAACTTCTACTTTTCGACTCTTCGGCTTTCGTGTTTTGAAGAGGCGAAAAGTAGAAATTATGAATGGTAGTTATAGGCTTCCATAGTCACGGCTTAATCCACGCTAAAGTGTAAACAATCTCCCAGCTTGGATCCAATCGGATTTTACAGAGGCTTATCAAAAGCCTTTACGCATCGTCGGTAAAGGATGCCAAATGTTGCAAAACTTTAAATTCATCGTAACTTTGTAAATACTTATTGAAATTCACCCCCCCCCCACCACCACCAATAACTTGGCCCCAAGTCCTCCTTTCTCCAGGTTATTGCACGCAAGTTAGCAACTTGGCAAGTAATCATGTGATTATAGGCCTTCATCGACGATAGGACATGTTCAAGTGTCATAGTGTAAATATTCAATTTTTGGTTTGTCATACATCATCTTCTTGGGTAAAGAATAACGCTCGATGGAACCATGCTTTAATTATAGGATATTGGATTCTACTATATGGTTATGTGTTTAGTACTTGTTCAATTTTTTATGCCACTCAAGAAGCTATTGTCGTTAATTTGGAACACCTTATTATTAATGTTTACACTTAATATTAATCAGTACAGTTGTATGTGTTAAGACCCCCCCCCCCCTATAATAATATTAGTTGTAATTAGAGTCATACACGATTAGTTTCTTTTTTTCTTTTATTAGGGTTGCAATTTTGTACAAATTGTTAGGGTCCTAGACCTTTATAATATACTCTTCAAAAACAATAGGGAATATTTAGAAACAATACAAAACTGCGGAAATGCACTGCTGTTTTTATTAGAGGTAACCAATGTATGTTAATAACAGGCCATTTGCCTACCCATGAACATAAACAGTTCATATGGGCGGCTTATCTGACGGCCCCATTTCACTCGTAAAGAGATACACCGTCAAAAGTGAAAATGGATGTTTTTGATTTTTGTCTTAATAATGAGTAATTGCTCCACCAATCCTCAGACATTCAGCAATTCGTCGTGGCATACTCCTAATCAACCGTCCAATCACGATTTTGGGGAAATCTGACCAACTCCTCTTGCAGTGCCACGGCCAATTCTTGTAGTGAAGTCGGTTGACGTTGATGTCGACGAATACGTCTCCCGACCATGTCCCAGACATGCGCTATAGGGGAAAGGTCAGGACTCATGGCTGGCCAAGGCATATGGACAATATGGTGACGCTGGATGTAGTTACTCACGACACGAGCGCGGTGGGCACGGGCATCATCATCTTGAAAGATAAAACGTCGACCTGCACGTTGAGCAAAGGACAGAACTATCGGTGCCAGGATGGGGTCACGGTAGTACACACCAGTGACCCTTCCTTGAACAATATGCAAGTCCGTTCTGCCAGTCATGGTGATTCCTTCCCACACCGTAACAGACTCACGCCGGACTCTGTCATGCTGTCTGACGTTAACGTTAGCATGACGCTCATTTACACGCCTCCAAACGCGAGCACGCCTATCGGTGAAATCCAGAGTAAATCTGAAATCATCTGAGAACATTACACACGCCCATCGACGATTACCCCAATTTCTACGCTTCCTACACCATTGACGCCCGTTTGCCATGTGCTGGCGAGTTAATGAAGGCACAACACGCGGTCGTCGCGACAGCAAATGGCTGCATGTAGCGGATTTCTAATCGATTGGGGTGTAACTCGAATTCTGTAACTTGGTACTAGTTTACTGAAAGCTGATTGGCCGTTTGTCCTCGATTTCGCAGGACCTGTCTACGAATGTATCGATCCCGGGCTTGTGTAGTGGCTCTAGGACGACCTGAGCGAGGTCTATCATCAACATTGTGTGTTTGTTGGTACCGGTACCACAGTCTGCTGATCACAGACTGTGGCACATTAAGCATATTGGCTACTGCTCGCTGTGTAGAACCCATTTGAAGCATTCCAATAGCACGTAGACGTTCATCATGTTGAAGACGTCTCATTGCAAATTAAACGTAACACACTAAAGCAAAGATACGCTAAACAGTAAATCGTATGCAAGAACCGATAGGAAAGCAAACATGGATATGATAAACCAGCACGCGACACTTTTCATCAACCCTTCCTTGAAGAGTCAAATTTGACAATGAACCCCTCCCACGTGTATGGCGCTATTACGTGTCGGACTTGCAGCTCAGTGGTTCTGTTGGGGCGATAAGTTCTTCATCTGTGAACATACTCTCAACGCATTTCAAGTGTCCATGACTATTTATCATATCACAACCTGCATAGGTATTTGCATTTCAATACCCCCTTCTTTTTTTTGAAGAATATAAATCGCTTTCACTAAATGCCTTTCAAAGATATGACACATATTAATTAATCGCACATTTATTTTTTTTTAAAACTATCGAGCAATCAAACTATACACTAAGTTTCATCACTCTCTATCAGATAGAATCAACCTTATCTTGTCCCAAAGCATCGACCAATGAAATTGATCAGCTCTGCTTAGCTTCAGCTCGAAATATTAATCATTGAACTTGGTCAAGACATTCACCTAATGAACATCTACATCAAGTTTAAACATTCTACCTCAGTTAAAAGCAGAGTTGTTATGTTCCAAAGTCTTGACCAATCAAATTGCTTATCGCTCCTTAGTCTAAGCAGAAAATTCTCACCATCGAACTTAGTCAAGGTAATGATATAATGAATCTATTTTCAGAGTTCCATCGCTCTCACTTCATTATAACCAAAGTTATCGTGCTCCAAAGCATCAACCAATCAGATTGCTTATCTCTGCTTACCGTAAGCAGACAATGTTCATCATCGAACTCCATCAAGGCATTCACCTAATGAACGCCTACACCAAATTTGAACATTCTACCTTAATTAGAAGGCGTATTGTTGTATTCTAAAGACTCGGCCAATTAAATTGCTTATCGCTCTGCTTGGGGGATCACGGTAGCTAAGAGGGTACGACCCTGGCTCGCTAGCCTGGAGGTCGGGTGTTCGATCCCTGCATTGGCCGAGAAAGTTCATCCAGATTTTCCGGCGTGGTTCCCACTTGTCAGTGATGTAGGACGGAGGACCTGACAAGGACAGCTGTCTAGTCGTTCGGATGGGACGAAAACCGAGGTCCCGTGTACACATTGGCGTGCACGTAAATGACCCCTTGACAGTTGGAAGTCGATATAAGAGTAGGCCGTAGTGCCGCTGTCGGGGCATAATTTCCCTCATATAACACTGTATGGCGTATGCCCGTCTTCATTAGCCCAGTTTGGAGCAGAACATTAGGACGATAAAACCCATTTCATTTTCTTTATCGATCTGCTTACCCTCAGCAGAAAATGTTCATTATCAAACTTGGTCAAGGTAGCTTTCGCTCGAAATGTTAATCATTGAACTCAGCCCAAGAAATTCACCTAATGAACATTTACATCAAGTTTAAACATTCTATCTCAATTAAAAGCAGAGTTGTTATGTTCGAAAGTCTTGACCAATCAAATTGCTTATCTCTCCTTAGCCTAAGCATAAAATTCTCATCATCGAACTTATTCAAAGTAATGATATAATGAATCTATACTCGGAGTTTCATCACTCTCACTTAATTATAACCAAAGATATCGTGTCCCAAAGCATCAACCAATCAGATTGCTTATCTCATCTTACCTTAAGCAGACAATGTTTATCATCGAACTAGATCAATTAGAAGGAGAGTTACTGTGTTCCAAAGTCTTGTCCAATCAAATTGCTTATCGTTCTGCTTACCCTGAGCAGAAAGTGCTCATTATCGACCTTAGTCAAGGTATTGATGTGATAAAACTATACACCAAGTGTCCTCACTCTCACTAAATTAGAACTAAAGTTATCGTGTCCCAAAGCATCAACCAATCAAATTACTTATCTCTGCTTACCCTAAGCAAAAAATTCTCATCTTCAAACACCATAAAGGCATTGACCTAATTAAAACCTACACCTAGTTTGAAAATTCTACCTAAATTAGAAGGAGAGTTATTGTGTTCCAAAATCTCGGCCAATCAAATTGCTTATTGCTCTGCTTACCCTGAGCAGAAAATGCTCATTATTGAACTTAGTCAAGGTATTGATGTAATGAAACTAACACCAAGTGTCCTCACTCTCACTTAATTAGAACTAAAGTTATCGTGTCCCAAAGCATCAACCAATCAAATCGCTTATCTCTGCTTACTCTACGCAGAAAATTCTCATCTTTGAACTCCATCAAGGCATTGATTGACCTACTAAACACCTACACCAAATCTGAACATTGTAGCTCAATTAGAAAGAGAGTTATTGAGTACCAAAAAGTGTGACGGACAGACAGACGGACGGAATCATTTTAATAGTCCCCTGTTTTCTTCGAAAGGCGGGGGCAAAAAATGGGCGTGGGTCTACGCCTGGGGGTCGGACATACCCCACAAAAAAATAGGGATCATCCTTATGGTATAAGGAATAAGTATGCAAAGTTTCAAGACAATCCATAAAGGATTGTGTGCCCTGTAGGCGACCCACAGGTACACACACACCCACAGGGGGGCGACGGCATAATACGTCCACATTATGAATGTATACCTATAAAAAATGAACATACTGAAGATTTCAATTATCCATTTTATCGTTAAATTTTAGAATCTCGCGTGTATTCTAAGAGTATAGCGGAAACAATACGAGTCCTCTATACAGGCCCCTACAAATTATACAATGCCTGTATCTATAATATGCTTAAACTGTGAATACATTTCTGTTCAAGATGTATTATGTAAGATTTAGCTAAAGAGTTGACCGTTCTTGCCATAATAGTTCAAAAATAGATAATAAAAAATGAATATACTGAAAATTTCAATTATCCATTTTATCGTTAAATTTTAGAATCTTGCGTGTATTTTAATCCATTTAAATCTCAACCATCCGATGATCAAGCGAGTTGATTATAGTCTTGCCATGTGAATAAATGTCTAAATAATACTTAATATAACATTTGAAGCCAAAATAAAGACCTGCAATAGGCAGATTTAGCTCTTACATAACTCATCTTTAATTTATAATCCAAATACATATAGATGGAATAAATAATGTAAAACAGTGTATCTCAAAATTGAACCAAAAGCATTTTCAGAAATGTCACTGTTCTAAAGTGATAAGGGCCTAATTCCGTAAAACAATGTGAAACGCTATATATTCAGCAGTGTACAAAAACTCGATCGAATATCTCAACATAATTTAACCTAAAATGATCCCGAGGAAATGATTTTAATTCAACAAAGGGCCATAGAATTCCGTTACAAATTAATGGAATCCCCCGAAACGTGAATTGGAATTGTAATTCAGCTACATACAGATACCAAACTTCAATCAAATATCTCGAAGTCAACAAAGGGCCATAAACCGGCCAAAATTTAACGGAATCTACGAAATGTGAATTTGGTCTGTAACTCTGGTATGTACAGCAGTATACCAAATTTCAATCAAATATCTCAAAAATTCATTTAAATTTCTTCTAGAAAACAAAAAAAGACAGACACAGGGGTTGAGAGAGAATTTATGGTCTCCCGGATTTACAGGTAGCGACTAATAAAATAACGATGCTTGGCATTTTGGTATGCACACAGATATTGATCAACGCAATGCTGTAAGATTGATTAATAGATAGGCCAAGATTTAGACGAATGCTCTCATGATCTACAATGGGTATTGTACAACATTATATTGATTGTCAATAATATAATTAAAGGAAGACTAACAATATTGTCGGGGAATGTTGCACTACAAAAGATTGGGGTTCGCCCAGGATTATGGGATTTTGAGACCCTAAACAATGTAAAGATTATGGTGCCCCATATAACTAATTCAAATAAAACGATACTAAATTGATACATTTTTTTTAATTTTTCTTTTTATCTTTTAAACAATATATTTTGTTATCTTTTAAATAGTATTTTATTCACAATTGTATCTGAACACTACAGGGATTGGTGAACAGGCACAACCTATATTAAACCTCTCTCCGTGTCAAATATAGACATGTATTTATATTTTAGAAAAAAACAATGTACGAGGGAAAACATATTTACAGTGAGTGTGTTGCAAATTTGCCAAATTATGAACTGCAGTGGTATAGTTCTCCCTTGAACATTCATAATTTGTCTTTGTAAATGAAACAAAACTTATGTAAGCCTTATTTCTAAATTTTCCGATGGCAAAATCCTGGAACTGTAGGGCCCCTGGTTAAGTTGAAAAGTTTGACGCTGATAAAAAAAAAAACCTCTGCGCCGCCCCCGCCACACACATACATCACATACACCGCCTTTCCTTGGTGTTCTAATGGTCAACAAGAGCAATAGTGTCATGCAAATTAATAAAAAATACAAACAAATCAACTTAATTAAATAACACATTTATTTCTTTATTTCATAAGATAAAATTGTGACCAAAAATTAAATGGTCATTTTGGTAAGCGAGTTATTAGTCGAGCCCAGTAAGATTTGATGTGGTTTTATTAATACGATTTTATGAAGATAAACCCATGTTCGAATTATTTTCTTAAAAAGTGAATAATAGGCCTTGATATATTTAATATGTATTAGCAAAAAATAATATTACCATCGATGTTAAAGGGCGGGGATGGTCTGGGAAGGAGCATGCGAGTATGATGGGCTTTGGGGGCCAATAAAGAAGTTAACGTTCTCGCGTAGTTAGGTCACTTTTTAGTCTTGAGTTTTTGGTGACTTATTGGTAAATTGTTACACGCTAAATTTGTGCATGAGTTAGAAACATCCGTCTCCGTTTACTAGCAATCAAATGTCATGTGGAAGAACGTTTCAGTAGCGAAGTAGTAGCCTGGTGTTCCACTACTTATCGATCGACAGTTCATTATTAGTCTCTATCATTCAGAATAGTCATTCGTAACTTGAAGATAAGGGGGTTCTGGGTGACCGAGACAGCAGGACATCGACTCCGAGACGTACATAAACAATCACGCGGCTTCATAAATTTCAACATTTTATCATATTAATACATTAACTTATGATAAACAGATTAATAATCTTATTTTACTTAAATATAATTTGATATTTAATTTGTAGGTGGAAAGTGCGACCCCCTCTTTATAGAATGGCACCCAAACGCTTTATGAATCAAAGCGTGAAATGGGCGTGGAACAACGAGTAGCTTGCGGTAGAAAATATTTTTATTTTGTTAAGAATCTAATGAAAACAGAATCCACATGAACTCCGCGATTTTCGATCGAAATATTGATAATTTTGGCTGGGATGGTCCCTATAATATAGACCTAAACCATTGAAAAATACAAATAAGTGTCAATTTTGTGAGGAGCAGTGAGTCAATAATTGTTAACAGTCTGGGTCATTGCAGCATACAACGAAGATAATCTAGAAAAGAAAAATAGTCACCAATACGGCGATGCCATGGGGGATACTTATATTACTAAGAATATAATCTAGACAAAATTGAGCTGAATCTGTATAAAGTCACAAGAGTTTGAGAACGGCTGATAGATGCAGTTGCCGGCAAAATGTTAGTATTAATTATGATGAGATTATATATCAACCCCATTTCAGTAATTAAATATTTAAAAAAACGGTTAATTCAATATTTTGTAAAACAATAAATTGGTCATTTGTATAAAACAAAGAAAACTCTATTTCGAGTTTTTAGGACCCAAAACGAAAACGTGCTAAAGACATCATTTCCCCGTATTTTATATGAATCCAAGATTGTAAGAATACACTATGTAGTTTATCAACACAGTAATTTAATTTATTAAATATTATGTTTGAAAATTAAATTCTAAAACCATTCCACAATGCCTCGGTAAGTTTCTGAGTTTTGATTCCTTTTTTTTTTATTTTTTGTTGTTTTTTTTTTAAGTAGAAAAAAGTATTTACAGATAATAAAGTAGAGATCTGGTAAAGCTATATTAAGTATACATAAAGGTTAGAAAAAGCAAAAAATGTAAAAAAAAAAAAAAAAAAAAAAAAGTAACAAAACAAACAGTGATTTTTTAGACCTCTGCACCATTTTGAATTATGACATCACTTTCTAATACCATAGTTTTTGGTTCCTTTACGACTTCATCTTTCTTTTCAGGATTTATTCTTTCGTGTTCAATATCTGATGTCATGTCTGATTGCCCCTCACTCTGGTCTTTTACACCTGATTCAAACTTAACATATGTTTCACGTTTTGGGACTATAACTTCAGCTTCTAAGGGATACCGAGTGCTCAGGTCGGCATATACAGTTTTTTGCCGTATGCGGGCATGGGAATGAGGTCTGGAATGTGATTGAGGTTCATAAACTTCTGTAAGAGGTTCAAGTTCATGTATTTCACTAATAGTGTGATTAGGATAACTTGTGCTTGAACTTGATAATGTTGATTCAGAAAAAGCATAAACTGTTTTATCTACATGTTTTCGTCTGCTTGGAGAACAACAGTCTGAAGATGGCCAATGAAATTGACCAAACCCTCCCTGTGGTCCCAGAGTTCTTAATAGTGATTGAAAGAAAAATGTTGAGTAAACCCATCCAATTGTAATAATTAACATAAGAAAAATTCCAAACTTGTTATAAGCTAAAACAGTTGAAGGCATCATTAATGACCCAGCTAGGAATGTCGTTAATGCTGCCATAGCCACAGCACTTCCCATTCGTCCAACAGAACATGCTACACGCATCTCTCGATCTAGATCAGGAGACAGTCTATAGGCCACACCATAATGTAAAGTGAAATCTATGGACATTCCTATAGCAACAGTAATAACCACTGATTCCAATATATTCAATTCCCAGCCTAACAGCACCAGAGTTGCTATAGTAACAGCAATGATACACGTGATACACAAAATCGCATATAATGTAATGAGAACATTTAATGTTGTGAAAAAGGCCACAACAGCAGCTACAGCAAGAGACACACCCATTGCTAAAGGAGTTCCTGTAGCAAGACTTTTTTGCAGATCATAAAATGCAAGGTCACTTATTAACCAGCCATTTCTCATTTCAGCAGGTGCCTGCACCATTTCCTCTGTTACCCATTGGTTTATTCGCTGATAAAAAGAACTCATTTTCTCATATGATTGGCTGTAAGGTTCGTTACTGAGAAACTCAATAAAGAAGGCACTAATTTGACCATTGGAAAATCGTGGTCCTGGGGAGTAGGCCGAGTAGATAACGCCTGGTGTCTTTTGTAAGGCTACAATATAGCGACTTAAACAATGGCTAAACACGGCTCTACTAAACGGAAACTTGGTTTCATTACAACATGGAGTATTATCTGTGGTTTCAACTCGACATGGTTGCTTCATGTATTCATACACAAAATTTTCTAAAAAGCAGTTTGTAAGTTGTATACCTGGGGATTTTAGATAAAAATCAGAACGGCGCAATCGTTGACAGAATTCCAGAATCCATTTTTGAGCATTTTCTGTTGTCAAATCAAATGCACTATCAAATACTAATGATCCCTTTTTACTTGGGTCAAGTCTGTCACCATTGTCAATTGGGTGTATTCCCCATATAACTGTGATGGGCAGTAATGGAATGTCATTTGTATTTTCAGTTTTTTCAAAACCAAATACCTCACCAAGTTCAAAATCATATTTTTCTAATAAATGATTGGATGAAAACACTTGAAATTTTTTAGATGAAGGGAGTTTAAGACGCGGATAATAAAATATAACAAGAACACCACATATTCCTAAACTACCGTAAATAAACAGCCACAAATAACGAAAGCGAATAACAAAACAAGGTAAAATCTTCTCAAAAAATATTCTGGACCAATCAGTAATGAGGTAATATAGTTTGTACGGAATTTTACACAAATAGTAACCCACGTTTTTATTGCCTGAATATATGTCAGGACTATGACAAACACAAAAATTGCACCATTTCTTGTAGGCCATAATACTGGCTGGAATCCATGTTATCATCAACACAAAGTTACAGAAGACGGCAGTGCCTGCATATATGCTAAAACATTGAATGGCAGTGATGTCACTAATATAATTTGAATAAAAGGCCGCAGAAGTTGTTAAACTGGTTACTAACATTGATAGAGTAGCATGTCGTAACGTATCACTCACAATTTTTTCTAAAGTTCCATTGTTTTTTTCAGATTTTGATAAGTGCCACACTTTACAATAAATGAACATGTCATCAGCCCCAATACCAATCATAATTATAACAGTTACCATATTCATATATGGAAAAAATTTGATCTCAAACACAAACATGTAGAGAAAATATGCCACTTCCAGTGATCCAAACATGGCTAAAAATGTCATACAGGTGATAAAAATGGAGGATGAATAAAGCCACATGAAAATAAAGATGACCGCACCAGCAGCAGACAGCCATTTTGTATCTGATATTAGATATTCTTCAAACAGTATATGCTTTATACCAAACTCAGCACCAACTATTTCTACAGTTTTGTATTGTCTGGGTAAACTTTCTATATATTTATATAAATCTATTGAGGAGGAGCTGCCAGCAACAGGAAGAAATGTAATGGTATATTTTAAAGACAATTTATTGTTTTTTGTGAGTTGTTTTGAAAATGAAGAGTCTGTTAAATAGTGTAAAATATGATAAACAGCATTATATTGGGTACACTGATGAGGAATTCCTGGGCAGTGATCTAATGGATGATCATAAGAGTAAAACCAAGCATCCGGAGAGAAATGACAGTTAGGTCCTAAGGAGTAGTTACCATAAAATGGTGCACACATCTCCAGAGTATTAAGTACTTGACTTAAATCATCTTCTGTCACCTCCATACATCCACTCTTATTGGATAAAAGGGCTACATAGTTTCCAAGTGACCAACTTCTACAACAGTTATGACTCATGGCTTTGATACAGTTGCTACGGTAATCCTTTCTTTTATGTAGCCATGAACTTTCCATTAGACATAAATTATGGAGATTTTTTGCACTATATAAGGAACTACCATCTGCAGAACCAAACACCAATCTGGCATAGGCTTTATCTGAAAAACAGATTGTGTGATGATGAAAATATTATTTGAAACATGAATACATATTTGATTAACACTCTTATATGGATATACTACCTTTATGTGTATTGAAACGTAGAATGTTAATACAACTCAACATTGAGGCTGATGTCCCCGACTGAAATCCCAAAATAAATAGATGACACATTTTAATTTATCACACATTTATTTTTTTCAAAAGTATCAATCAATCAAACTGATATCAACTTTTATCAATTATGCACTAAGTTTCATCACTCTCTATCAGATAGAATCAAAGTTATCTTGGCCTAAAGCATTGACCAATGAAATTGCTTAGCTCTGCTTAGCTTTCGCTCGAAATGTTAATCATTGAACTCAGCCCAAGAAATTCACCTAATGAACATTTACATCAAATTTAAACATTCTATCTCAATTAAAAGCAGAGTTGTTATGTTCGAAAGTCTTGACCAATCAAATTGCTTATCTCTCCTTAGCCTAAGCATAAAATTCTCATCATCGAACTTATTCAAGGTAATGATATAATGAATCTATACTCGGAGTTTCATCACTCTCACTTAATTATAACCAAAGATATCGTGTCCCAAAGCATCAACCAATCAGATTGCTTATCTCATCTTACCTTAAGCAGACAATGTTTATCATCGAACTAGATCAATTAGAAGGAGAGTTACTGTGTTCCAAAGTCTTGTCCAATCAAATTGCTTATCGTTCTGCTTACCCCGAGCAGAAAGTGCTCATTATCGACCTTAGTCAAGGTATTGATGTGATAAAACTATACACCAAGTGTCCTCACTCTCACTAAATTAGAACTAAAGTTATCGTGTCCCAAAGCATCAACCAATCAAATTACTTATCTCTGCTTACCCGAAGCAAAAAATTCTCATCTTCAAACACCATAAAGGCATTGACCTAATTAAAACCTACACCTAGTTTGAAAATTCTACCTAAATTAGAAGGAGAGTTATTGTGTTCCAAAATCTCGGCCAATCAAATTGCTTATTGCTCTGCTTACCCTGAGCAGAAAATGCTCATTATTGAACTTAGTCAAGGTATTGATGTAATGAAACTAACACCAAGTTTCATCACTCTCACTTAATTAGAACTAAAGTTATCGTGTCCCAAAGCATCAACCAATCAAATTGCTTATCTCTGCTTACCCTAAGCAGAAAATGCTCATCTTCGAACTCCATCAAGGCATTGACCTAATAAACACCTACACCAAGTTTGAACATTCTAGCTCAATTAGAAGGAGAGTTATTGTGTCCCAAAAAGTGTGACAGACAGACAGACCCATTTTAATAGTCCCCTGCTTTCTACAAAGGCGGCTGACAAAAATTCAGAAGTAGTATATTCATATAAGTGTGTTAATTTTAGTGAAATCTATTTCTACATGTCTTATAAGGATTAATACATATATGATTCTATAATTGTTTGAGCCTTAGATATAGGTGTATGTATACTGTGTCTTGAGAATGGTATTTTATGCCACTATAGTTACATCGCAATTAATCTTTTCCATGTTTAATTTTCTACTTTAGTGAAGACTACACAGTCAGCAATATATTTGTAAACTATATAAAAGGTGAAAAATATGTTTTACATATATTTCATGTGGTCAGTTGGGTCAGTAAACCAAATAATAAAATAACTAAGGCCTAATATAGAAAATATAATTAAATGTGTCCTGCTTCACAATCAGGTATTTTTTGGGAGAAGGACACATGTAGTTCAATTTACATTATATAATTTCTCAAAACCTACCTGGTATACCACAAAAGAACTTTTCATCTGAATCATATTCTAATTTTGAAGAGTTTTTTGATGCTTTGGATGACAATCGTAGTTTTTTTCTTTTCTTCTTCTTTTCCTTCTGCCGCTTGCGTTCTTTTGACTTATTGCGTATTCGTTCAATAAGATTTTCTTTGTACATTTTAACATATGGTAGCAAGTTAACATTTTCATCGTTATTTTTAACCAAGTTTTCATATGCCACCATTCTTGCACCTATTTCAGTTTGTCTAGGCTCAAAACCCTGGGAAAAATTAGAAGAGTAAAAGGATGAAATCAAACACGCTACCAGGCTATATTAAAAATAGGTTGTCAGGAAAAGAAACATACGAGCACAGCAGCTATGTCATCTTTTTTAGGTAATGGGAGCATTTACAAGCTACTAAAAACAAAGATTGGAATACACCCACACAGCAGCTATGACTAAAAGTAAACTAGAGCCATAAACAGAAGCTTATCTAGGAATAAATCGTGGAAGGATGCCATCAAAAAATTGAATCTTTATTTTACAAACTGTAGCCTCTATCGCATTCACAGGTTTTTCGATAACCCCGAGTGGAAAACTGCGGAACAGTGAATATTGACACATGTAGGATTTGTCCTCTAATGACCACAATCCTTCACACCAAATTTGAATAAAGATAGGTTGCCAGGCAACGAAACATACGCCCACAGCAGCTATATCGTCCGGGCAGTCAACAAGAGTTGTCACATATTTTTACTTTTTTCGGTAATGAAACATTTATAATACACTAAAATCTGATTAAAAGTAACAACTCATTAAGTAATTATCAAAAACCATTAGAATTTGTTTGATTTTTATAAATTTCTGCCCCATGCTAACGTTTAGTATACGAAACTTTTAACATCATGGATTAGCTGTTCAAGTCATAAAGATTCATTGAAAATCAATATACTTGTTCGTCTCAAGACCTTAAACTCTGTGTATCAATCTGAAGTCAATCAGATGATAACGTTAGCCTCTAGAGTGTCACAAGATTTTTCAAAGTGATCAAGGGCCATGACTCTGGCAGCAATTATCCGAAATCGTTGAAAATCAATATGATTCTTCATCGCATGGCCTCAAACACTGTGTATAAATTTAAAGTCAATCGGATATTAACTTTAGCCTCTAGAGCGTCCACAAGCAATAGTGGACGCCGAACGGACGGGGGTGACAACAATATACGACCACATTTCAATGTGGGCGTATAAAAATGTAGCCTTTAGTTTTTCAGCAAAGAGGGTTAACGCCAAAGGGAAGGTCATGGAATGCTGAATTTTGATATTGATAGAGTTTGTACTCTCATGACACCAAACGCTTCACAACAAATAGATTTGAGACTACTGGGATTAACAATCAATGTTTACAAAATTATCATTATTTATAAACACTTCTGTATAAACTTGCAACATCTCTTTTCAAAACTCTACACTTTCCCAAACTGCAGTGGGATTTTGGTTTTCGTCCACTCTGTTAGGCTGATTATTAATCTTTTGAAAAAATAATGTATCTACATGTACATGTATATCCATATGTTTCAGAAAAAACGTAATTCTCTTTTGCATACTACCTTTGCTCAACACAAGTTTGTACAACCATGGACCTTATAATATTATAAGGTCCATGGTACAACTGAGTGCCAATATATTATACAAAATGTCTTAAGGTTCAATAAGAAATGAAATGAAATGGGGTTTAACGTCCTATTGGTCTGCTCCAAACTGGACTAAAGGTTCAACAAGCATATTCATTATCATATACAAAGGGTAAAGTATACTTTAATTTATCAAGCTTCAAAGATGTAGAATAAATCTATTTAACTCCTTCTGCTTGGCTGTCTTTTATTTCTTACACCTTCTTTTGGGAAATATTACACGAACATATAAAACGGGAATAAGAATAATCTTTAAATGGTATTTAGTAACCGGATTGAGTAAAAATAAAAACACATACTCGGGTGAAACAGCTACTAGTGTATGTAAGGTGACATTTTGAAGAATATTCACTCAACGTTTTCAAGCTAATACAGCAATACAAATACGAAACAATAATGTAACAAATTGCCCATTTTAACATATTTTTTTTTAAAGGTCCACAAATTTATTGTACCCGCCCCTGTCAGGAACATAAATGTAGGAGTGTGTGGGGATGTGTGGAAAAAAAATTGTTGGTCATAAAATAAGTGCAGTCGGTTGCAAAATAATGCATCGCCAAATAAATGAATTAATGAGCTAAACAACATCAAAATAGAAGGAAAAAATCCCAAATACTGTATTATAGGTATATGTGTTGATCTGTGCACCTAAATTGTATACATCACGCAAAACTATATAGTAAACTTCGCATAAGTCTGATCTAAGTGGGCTGACCAAGTTTATCTGAGTTAGCAGAAGACCTAGTTCAGCTCTGAACGTAGGTCTCATTATCGCCCTATATGTTTAGGAACCGTCCTATTGAATCCTTGTTGAAATAAAATCGGTTTCCAGTCAATTTTACTGGGCAACTTTTTACTGCTAAACGGTCGTGTATCAGTCTCTATGAACACTTGAACAATGTAAAGAACATTTTAGTGAGAAAATAAGACCTCGCTAGAGTCAGTATGTGCAACACAACATGCTGTTAAAAATGCATGCCCTTCTGCTAAATGGCTTTGGCGGACACCATTGAGGTCTAGATGTGGGGTGGCGCACGGATTTACGTGGCTCAGCCATATAAGATGAAACGAAATTTAGGTAAGCTGGGGTGGGGAAAAATTAGAATCGTTGAAAAGCTGAGAAACTTCAGTCAATTATTGCTTTGCCTAGCCCAATTACAATCAAATTTTTTCAAAAATTCTAATTTCGTTTCGTCTTATACGGGCCGAGTTGCGCAAATTTGTGCGCTGCCCTGTATTTGGATTTCAATGGCGTCAGCCAGGCCGTTTGGTGGAGGGGGATGTATTTCTAACGGCATGTTGTGAACATACTGCCGATCCGACTTAGGGTCCAAACGATTTTATCCCAGTTGAGCGAATATCCGTCTTATACGAATCCCACGTTTACTGTAGTTGGTCTTACACTAAATGCAGTCACTGCAGTCAACTAAATGAATCAATGAGGTAAAAAAAAACAATGCCAAAATAGAAGGGAAAAATATCAGATACTTAAAGTAGCTAAGTCTCTAACTCAATATCATTCAAAATCTTCAACATTGAAAACACGAATTATTTGTCAAATTAAATCAACATTCATGTTGTGATCTTACCGGAAAAAGATGGGCTTTTGATATCCAATATTTAAGACAAAATAAACATTTTACCATTGGTACACGAATCGTGTACCATAATGCGCTTCAGCCCCAGTTGTATCAAGAGACTCGAGGGATGAGGCTAGATACATTGCACCAAATCAAATGGCATATGTAGACCGGAATAACCAGACGCTAGAAAATTTGCACTCGCTTAAGACTGCTGGCTTATTTTGCCGAACATAACTGATTTGAAATTGGAGTAAAAACGGAAACCATTGAATGTAAATTAGTTTATATACATTCATATTACAGTATTATATGCATTGCGACCCACTTTTGTCAATTTCTAGGTCCTAAATGTAAGCGATTTAGCTCCTTTAATATAGGTATGACATGTGCGTTGATCTGTGCACCTAAATTGCAAAACTATATATAAAATAACCCAGTCAACTTGTCATGGCTGAAAAAATGTTTATTACTCTTATTCTGTTAAGAGTATGTTGGTCTAAGAAATTGAGAGAGCTTGTTGTATGAAGAGTTTGATAATTCAAATTTCATTCTTGATTGTCATACAAATAATATTAGTCAAACAGTTGGTAACAAGTTATTGGAATGGTAAAAGAAAATGCATGTTTGTTTCAGAAACACATACAAAATCTTTCAATTATGAAATTTTAAGGTGATCTATTACTAGACAATTTTTACTTTTGCAAATTCAATAGCAGTAGAAATTAAAACGTTTATATATATATATATATATATATATATATAGCAGAAAATTTCTGGAATCCAAGTATCCCTATCCAGCAGCCAAGCCACACTAAACGGTATATTATTTATTTCAAGATGCCTGGTGGAAAACACTACAAAGTCAAATGTGGAATTTGTGGGTCAACTTTCAATAACGACTATACCGGTTGGCACTGCTGCACTTTCCACCCCAGTTAAAACGTTACCACACTCCCAACCAATCTACACTCTCTTCACTCTTTGTATCGCATGTACAAGAACAGGCAAACTTGCCATCACGTTCATCTCCCAATGACACCCAGTTTGACCAGTCATAGGATGAAGAGCATCAACCTGAGGCACCTGTGGAATTTGCGAGACTGAGCAGCAACATGATCTTGAGATGACAAGTGATGAAGAAATGCTCTATAAGCCATCACTGGAGCAGCAACTAAACGTGAATCGTGATGATCAAGTTGACAAAATCATTTCTGAAAGCTCTAATTATTCAGATTCTAGTACTGAAAACACCGATACTGCAACTGGGAATCCAACTGAATGCTGGATTACATGTTATGGCAAATTACGGCATTTGACTTCTACTATTGGCGAATGTCAAGAACTGCTTTCAACTGCTGAGAATGCTGATGCCCCAAACACAAAGCATTTACTAGGTGATTCGGTGGATATTGTTCAGAGAATTAAAGTTCAGAGTTCATCTTTACTGAAGATAGCTGTCAATGAAATAACAAAGCTTGATGATGTTCCCTAATTCTGTGGATCAAGCTCCTATCAAACGTGACCCAGCCAAGAGGTGGAACATAATGACTGACGCAGATAGGATTTGCCTGATAGAACAAGGCCCTTTCCAGCCCAAACTCACATGTTATCCTAGAAATCCTAACATAAAAGATAAGAAAAAACAATGCATGTTTTCATCGGAATGGTTCAAGCAGTATCCATACCTTGAATATTCCCTCCACGCAGACAACGCTTATTGCTTTGTGTGTCAGTTGTTCCCCCAATCTGACACCAGAGATGTTTGGATTAAAGATGGCCAGAACGCGTGGGACAAGATGAAAAGTGTCGGACAAAGAAGAAAGGGAAGATATCCACTCATTTTGGTCACAAAGCCGCGTTACAGCAGTTGGCTAATTTCGTTGATCCAAGGGGACACATTGACTTGTTGATGGATAAAGCTTGGCAATAAAAATTATGCTCGATATCACCAGAACTCTTGGACGCCAAGGCTTGGCCATGCGTGGATCATCCGAAGAAGATGA